CTTTGCAGCAATAGAGTGTGTGGTATGTTTCAGGCCTCTGTGGTCTTTGAGGATGTGGCTGTGAACTTCACCCCAGAAGAGTGGGCTTTGCTGAATCGTGGTCAGAGGAAGCTCTACAGAGATGTGATGCTGGAGACCTGCAGGAACCTGTCTGCTGTGGGTAAGGATGGCTCCATACCTTCACTGGTCTTTTCAGGAGGAAGAAGAATAAGTCAAATTTGCAAATGATATGAAACAATACATAGAATGTCCTTAACACTTCACCAAATACTATTAGAACTAATACATGAATTTAGAAGACTTGCAGAACACAAAAATAACATTCCAAAATCTGTTGCACTTCCGTATCTACTATCAAAATAGCAGAGAAATGTAGAAAACAAACCCATGTTAAATTACCTCAAAAACCATAAAATACTATGTTAAATATAACTAAGGAAGTTTAAAGATATTTACTCTAGGAGGTATAAACATTTAGTGAAAGAAATTGAAGGGGCGTCTGAGTGGCTCAGTTGGTTAAGTGTCAAGTTTGGCTCAGGTCGTGATCTCATGGTCTGTGGGTTCGAGCCCCGCGTTGGGCTCTGTGCTGACAGCTCACAGCCTGGAGCCTGCTTCACATTCTATGTCTTCTTCTCACTCTGCCCCTCCCCCACTCATTCTCTCTCTTTCTCTCTCTCTTTCAAAAATAAATATTAAGAATTTTTTTTAAAAAATAAATTGAAGGGGCACTTCAGTGGCTCAGTTGGTTGGGCATCTGACTTTGGCTCAGGCCATGATCTCATGGTCTGTGAGTTTGAGCCCTGCGTTGGGCTCTGTGCTGACAGCTCAGAGCCTGGAGCCTGTTTTGGATTCTGTGTTTCCCTCTCTTTGCCCCTCCCCCACTCATGCTCTGTCTCTGTCTCTCACTCTCAAAAAATAGTAAATAAACATTTAAAAATACTTAAAGGAAATTGAAGATGACACAATAAAAAAAGGTATACCATTGTCCTGGATTATAAGAACTAATATTATTGAAAATGCCCATACTATGAAAAGTGTTATACATATTCAATGCAATCCCCATCAATATACAGATAGTATTTTTGAAAGAACTAGAGCAAGAAATTTTAAAATTTTTATGAAAACAGAAAAGATTCCAAATAAAGCAATTTTGAGAAAACATACCAAAGCTGAAGATACAACAGTCTCAGATTTCAAACTATACTAAGCAAAACAGTGTAGTACTGGGACAAAAATAGACACGTAGATCAAGGCAACAGAATAGAGAGTCCAGAAATAAACCCATGCTTCTATGGCCGGATTATGTACAAAGAAGGAGCTGAAAATACACAATGGGGTTAAGACTGTCTCTTCAATAAGTGGTGTTGGGAAAATGAGACAGCTACCTGCAAAGAGGTGAAACTGGGCCAGCTTCATACCCCTTACCTGAAAGGAAACTCAGTATGGATTAAACACCTCGGTGCAGGACTTGAACCCATACACGTCTTAAGACAAAACAGAGGTGCTAAACTCATGGACATCAGCCTTAGCAGTATTTTTGTGGACTCATCCCTTCAGGTAAGGGAAACAAAAGGAAAAATAAAAAATTGAAAGGGGAACATAACAGACATTTTCCCACAGAAAATAATAGAGGTGGCCACTTGGCACATGAAAAGCTGCTCAGTATCACTAATCCTCAGAGAAGTGCACATCAAAACCACAATGAGCTGCCCCCTCACAGCAGCCGGAACGGCTAGTGTCAACAAGACAGGAAATACGAGTGTTGGTGAGGATGTGGAGAAAAGGAAACTCCTCGTCTGTGGGGTTTAAATGGGTGCAACCAGCTTGGCAAACAGTTTGGAATTTCCACAATAAAATGAAACACAACAGTACCATGTAGTCCATAATTCCACTTCTGGGTAGTTCACCAAAGAAAAAAAGCCAGCACGACAAGACATGTGCACCCCCTGGTTCACCGGACTGTTACTCACTGTACTCAACATAGGGAAGCAATGCAGGTGTCCTTCAACAGATGAATGGATAATGAAGATGTGGTATCTACATACAAGGAACTATCCCTCAGTAATACAAAAGGGACAAATTTGTGATGTTTGTGACAACGTGGATGGACCTAGAGAGTATTATACCAAGTAAATAAGTCCGACAGCGAGACAAACAAAACACGTTACTTATATGTGGAATCTAAATGACAAAATGAGCAAACAACAGAAAATAGGGACAGTCTTAAAACTCTAGGGAACAAATTGGTGTTTGTGAGATTGGAATGGGATTGAGAGACAGGTGAAATCATGGAGGGGATTGAGAAGAACAGATTTGCACTTGTTGAATAAATAAGTTACCAGAAGGAAAAGTAGAGCATAGGGAATATGGTCAATAATTGTATAGTTGTGTATAATGACAGCAATTACACTTTTTATGGTGAGCATTTTGTAATGTATGTAATTGTCAAATCACCGTATTGTACATCTGACACTAATATATAGGTCAGTATGCTTCTAGTAAAAGAATGATTAAATGAATGAGTTAATAAATGAATAAATAATAAAAAGCCATCCAATTATCGGTCATCAATGACCCTGAAGACTAAAGTTAGTGCCTATCTTCCAGATTGCTTGTTGTCCTTCAAATCCTCCCTCCTGCTGAGCTCTTCTCAGGGGCAGGCCAGCAGCCACACACATCACCCGACCTCTAATGGCAGCTGGGGCAATGTAGGAAGGCTTCACCAAAGGCCTATGTGCCTTCAGAACTGATCAACCCTTGGTTGGACCAGGTTCCGGACAAGGGATTGACATTTGGACCCATCCCCTAGAAACATGACTCTGTTTTTGAGAAGGGTGAAATTTGTCATTGACCCGGCTTTCCTGTTGGACTTTTCATCCATCATACCCCATGTGGCCAGTCTTTCTGTCTTCCTATAGAGGTAGGGTGTGGATGTGTGTATCTTGCCCAGTTCCTTCCTACTGGGCTCTTCTGATAATTCTTAACTCCACATTAGTGTCCATCTAGTTTGAAGTATTTCTGAATGAACGGGCTGCCATTTCAGACACTTTCTCTATTATTGCCAAAGTCTCGAGTCACAAGGGTCCTCGGAATTTTTTGGTCACATGACCATTCTTCCTCATGAAGTTCATTTACATTTCGGGATCAGTATATAAATAGAGATACATGGTCTGTTTTCTTACCTTACATATCAGATCATTTCCGAGAAATTCAATTAGACTCCCATTTCTTGTAGTTTCTCCCAGTCAAGGTAAAATGAGTGGATCAAAGACTGAGTGGAATTCTTTGCAGAATGAGCCTCTGAGTGAAGAGAAAATACTAATGTATACAAAAAATGATTCCTGTTCTGTGTTTGTAGAGAAGCGGAAATTTCACAGCAGTGGAGATTTGACCCGAATGCAGGAAGGGCTTTTGAGGTGAGTGACACTTGTAAGGGAGGAAGGGGGCGATGTTGGCGATTGTGAGACTGACCTGGAATTAGAGAACAGTTGCAAACCAAGCGCAACAATCGTGTAGTCGAAATTTTCACAAGACAAACCTTTATAAATGCATTCTACCTATTGATCATCTGAAAAACAATTCAGTTGGAAAAAATGGTCAGGGAAAAGCATATGTAAGAAGCCCTGAATGTTATGACTCTATTTGAGTCCTCAGGGAGAACAGGAAGCTTGTTCCACTTTGGAACCTTGCACACAGTGCTAAAAACATACTCATTCATTGAGAATATCCATCATGTAACCCAATAATGATTAACAAACACCAATAGATCATTAGGTAATAAAGAGATCACTTATAATCATTATTCCCTAACCATGTACCTTCCTATTTTGAACAGAAGTCCTTTGGTGGAGAGTGTCTGTGAACGTATTGAAGGAGATCCATGTGGAGAAACCCTGAACCCAATTACAAGTCTTACTGTGCATGAGGGCTGTCCCACTGGAGGCAAATCCTGTGAATGCGCTAAGTGTAGGGAAGCCCTCACAGATGGTTTTTTTCTAGGGACTCTGGGAAGATCTCACCCAGGACTCAAATCTAGTCCCTGTGAGGAATGTGGGCCGGCCTGTAGCTCCGTCTCAAGCCTCAGCACTCAGGTGGGTGCAGACCTTGTGGAGAAACCCTATGAAGGTCAGGTCACCGGGAGAGCATCGGAGACATATGCGAAGAGTCTCCGTAGTAAAAAGTCTATGGAGTGCAAGAAATGTGGAAAAGCTTTCACTTGCATTTCTTCTTTTCAGGGTCATGTGCAAAATGACTGTGTACAGAGAGTCCATGCATGTGATGTGTGTGGGAAAGCCTTTATGTGTCACTCTGATCTTACACATCACGTCAGAACTCATACTGGGGAGAGAACCTATCAATGTCAGGAGTGTGGGAGAGCCTTCCAGTGTAAGTCAGGCCTGCAGAAACATGTGAGGACTCACACTCCAGAGAAACTCTATAAATATCAGCCCTGTAGGAAATCCTTCCCTGGCCAGCAGTCCTTTCTAGTACCTAGGAGAAGACACACAGGGGACAGACACTTGGAATGTAAGGAGTGTGGGAAAACTTTCAAGAAGCATCTACAGTTTGAACGTCACATGACCACACACAATGTAATGAAACCCTATGAATGTCGGGAGTGTGGCAAAACCTTCAAGCATCACCCAGACCTGCGAGTACATATGAGGACACACACTGGGGAAAGACCCTATGAATGTAAGGAATGTGGGAAATCTTTCCGAAAGTATGAACATGTTAAACGTCACATGACCACTCACAGTACTGTGAAACCCTATGAATGTAAGCAATGTGGCAGAGCCTTCCGGGATCACACAGACCTGCGAGTGCATATGAGGACACACACTGGGGAAAGACCATATGAATGTCAACAATGTGGGAAAGCCTTCAGATATCTTGGGAATCTGCGAGAGCATGTGACAATACACACGGGGGAGAGACCCTATGAATGTCAGGAGTGTGGGAAAGCCTTCAGGTATAACTCATGCCTGCGAGAACATGTGAGGAAACACACTGGGGAGAGACCCTATAAATGTCAGCACTGTGGAAAAGCCTTCATTCGACACCACACCCTCGTACTACATACTGCGAGAAGACACTCAGTGGGTGGACACTTGGAATGTAAGGAGTGTGGCGAAACTTTCAGGAAGCATCAACCTTTTGAACATCACATGACCACACACAATGTAGTGAAACCCTATGAATGTCAGGAGTGTGGGAAAGCCTTCAGGTATCACAGAGACCTACGAATACATGCGTGGACACACACTGGGGAAAAACCCTGTAAATGTCAGCACTGTGGGAAAGCCTTCACATCTCCTTCAAACTTGGGAGCACACATGAGGACACATGCTGAGGAGAGACCTTTTGAGTGTATAGAGTGTGGGAAAGCTTTCCGTCAGCTGCAAAATTTTGAAAGTCATTTGAAAACACACAGCACCATTAAATCCTATGAATGTAAGAAGTGTGGGAAGGTGTACAAGTTCTCCTCCTCTCTTCGAGCGCATATGAAGAAACACCCTGGGGAGAGACCTTGACAAATCACTGCTCCCTTCAAGAACACATGAGGCTGCACAGTGGACAGTAAGCCTCTGTATGTAAGGACTCTGGTAAGACCTTCCAGTGTCTCGTAGACCTGGGCAGAAGAACCTTATGAATGATCGCTCTGTGGGAAAGCCTTCAGTTGTCCCTCTTCCCTTCGAGAACACACGTGCAAGCACACTAATGTGAAACATTACACACTTAAGCACTATGGAAAAGCCTGTCCGGGAATCTGTGAGCAAAGCCACACTGTAGGAAAGCATTTATTTTTCCTTCAAATATTTTTTTATGTTTATTTTTGAGACAGAGACAGAGCATGAGCAGGGGAGGGGCTGAGAGAGAGGGAAACAGAATCTGAGGTAGGCTCCAGGCTCTGAGCTGTCAGCATAGAGCCAGATGTGGGGCTTGAACTCATGAACCGTGAGATCATGATTGAGCCAAAGTCAGATGCTCAAATGACTGAGCCACCCAGGCATCCCTCCTTTCAAATCTTATTGAAAATGCGAGTTAGTACAACGGAGATGATCCTGAATGCACACAATTTTGGGAAAACTTCAGGTATAGAACTTCATGTATTTTGTTCATGAAAATTCAGTCAGGAGAGAAATCTTTTCATTGTTGTGAATATGGCTTTGACTTTCCAGGTGCCTCTTCCTTGACTGGGATCCCAAGTGTATGAATTCCTAGTTCATCTCACTGATATGAACACTGATGGTTTTAAGTGGCCTTCTTTGTCCTCTATATCTGTACAACCTAGATGTTACCTCAGACTTGAAGTAATCACATAGTTTTGTACAACATGTCTCTTTCCCATTATAATGTCTTTTGGACCTAGAGGTGATAAAAATGTGTCTATTGTTGGTGTGTACTTAACACCTTTATATACTTTTACAAAAAAATGTCTTGAATTATATACATTCCAAAATGTTCTTGATAAGTTTTCATGATGTTAGACCCCTCATTGTTGAAAGTTCTTTTCTGTCCTCTGTTATGGATACTGGAATTTCCTGATTCTGTGTCTACTCGTCTTTTCAGTCTTTGTTATTAAAAGTTATATTTTCACATCAATTTTCTCATTTTCTTCAATTTTTAAAAAACTCAAAAATGTTTATTTTTGAGATCGGGTGAGAGAGAGAGAGAGAGAGAGAGAGAGAGAGCGCACAAGTGGGGGAGAGGCAGAGAGAGAGAGAGGGATACACGGAATCTGAAGTAGGCTTCAGCCTCCAAGCTGTCAGCACAGAATCCAACGCGGGGCTTGAACTTACAAACCTCAAGATCATGACTTGGACACTTAACCCACTGAGTCACCTGGGCACCCCTTTTTCTTCAATTTTTAAAGTTCAAGGGGCGCCTGGGTGGCGCAGTCGGTTAAGCGTCCGACTTCAGCCAGGTCACTATCTCGCGGTCCTTGAGTTCGAGCCCCGCGTCGGGCTCTGGGCTGATGGCTCGGAGCCTGGAGCCTGTTTCCGATTCTGTGTCTCCCTCTCTCTCTGCCCCTCCCCCGTTCATGCTCTGTCTCTCTCTGTCCCAAAAATAAATAAACGTTGGAAAAAAAAAAATAAAGTTCTGATATTGGTTTATCTTTCTGGCACTAGTTCTTAGATTGATTTTATTCCAAATTATGACCTAGAAGAACATCCCTTGTGCAGTTATTTCTTGAGAGTGGATTGCAAGACCTGGGAAAGTGAATGGGGTAAATGCTGAAACATCAGCGATGTTCTGGGCTCAAGGCTGTCCACCGATAGCCCTGTGAGATCCAGAGTCCCATGATCTCCCAGGAGCCAGTTCAGGAACAGACCCACTGTCGTCGCCTGGCAGTCTTCAAAACCGCACATCTTCCCTACGTGCTTTCATGTAAACACCGGATGTGTGTGTGGTCTATGTCCGGAGGCTCTTTGTGTTTTCCTCCCGTGCTTTGACATTCTTTGATGTTTATTCCTGGCGAACAGGAAATAAAGACTATGCAGTTTGCTCCTGGTGCTGTTTTGCTGGCAGAGAGAGCCCTGCATGTCCACTCTGACTAAGTGAGAACTTTTTCTTCAGTGCGCGGGGACATCCCTTTGGACCATGACTCAGGTTTGCCTGCTTATTTCCTAAAGCAGTGATTGTGGTGGAAATACCAGTGGGGTGCTTTCCTCTGGCCCCCAGGGGGTGCCTGGAAAGACCAGTACCCTTGATCTCAGCCAGATCAGTCGACCAAAATATGGTATTTGGTAAATTCTGGACATAAGAGCCCCTTTGGTTTTATCCTTAATAGAGGTAAGAAAAAAACCCAAAAAACCAAAAAACAAAAACAAAAAAAACCCTTGCTGTTTCCATAATGTTCCACAGTTCTGAGGTACCCCAAAGTCATTCCAACTATGGGACGAAATGCTTGTGGTTTTACCCTTGACTATGATATTTGGTCATGTAACGGTATGTAACATCCTATGGGGCTGGACATTCAAAGGGAAAAGTATTGCCACCTTGGTACCTTTAAAAGGATTTGCAGGGCACTTGGCTGACTCGGTCAGTAGAGCATGTAATTCTTAGTCTTGGACTTGTGGGTTTTTGCCCCACACTGGGCGTAGAGGTAATGTAAAAAAATAATAAAATGGAATTTAAAAAAAAAAAGGATTTGCAAAAGCATACCCAACCTAATATTTACTGTTTTCCTCCTTTTTATTTTTATTTTTTTTTTTTCAACATTTATTTTATTATTTTTTGGGACAGAGAGAGACAGAGCATGAACGGGGGAGGGGCAGAGAGAGAGGGAGACACAGAATCGGAAACAGGCTCCAGGCTCTGAGCCATCAGCCCAGAGCCCGACGCGGGGCTCGAACTCCCGGACCGCGAGATCGTGACCTGGCTGAAGTCGGATGCTCAACCGACTGCGCCACCCAGGCGCCCCTTCCTCCTTTTTAAAAAAACACATCAGTGAACTATGAAGAATCTTTATTGTTTAGAGGAGTGGCATGTAAAATGCCATGGGGAGTCAAAAGGGGACGGGTCAGCATTAAGCTGTCATGAGTTTTCTTTGGGTCCAAATGTGGTCTGAAGAATTTGCTCTCAGTGGCAGTGCATGCCAGTAGCCAATAGGGCTTAAGAACAACAGAGCTTGGAGGGAGAAAGATGTTATTTATTGCTGAGACGTCTTGGACAGACATCCGTTATCATCCATTAGGTTCTGCCAAGTGAAAGAGGCACTACAGGAAACCGTATAGGGGATTCTGAGCACCTGAGCCTTCTGTTCTTAGGATGGGCCTGATGCCCTGAAGAGCCTCTTTATTTGTAGTATATTGTCTCATTCCATTCTGCCAGGAGGGTTTGAAAAATACAATTTTATATTCATAGCAGCTACACTACGATTCTGCCAATATCAGTTGAGGATGCTTCCCAGAAAGACGATGGTAGGTGATCCAGTTGAAAGAAATGGTTAGTGTCCCCAGATTCCACTCTGGGGCCTCAGAGATAGAGCTGATAAAATGTGTTCAAGGGTCATTTGATCTCCCTGGTTGGTTAATCTGATTACTACTGTCAAAGTTTAGAATTATGTCTCCCTTTTGGAGGAAAGAAATTCTGTCATGATCCTGTTCTAAGAAATCTCTGCCTAATACGTGAATAGAGGAGGAAGAAAGGATAAAAAGACGGTGAGTTTCTCGCAAATGTCCTGGACAAAAGGAATAGGCTCACAGACAGGAATTTGTTCAGATTTTTTTTAGACACCCCCCCCCCCCAAAATACTGGAACTATATTAATCCTTCCAGGCAGGGGCTGCATTACAGCAGGAGTTTGGGGACCAAGAGTGTACTTCTGGTGTCAACAAGGACAGAGATTCATTCCCAATGTGCAGGTGGTTCCACAAGCTGATTAAGACGGACAGCTGGGAAGAGCCCCTGTGGTTCCCTGGAGCACTGTCACTGAGAATGAGGAGGATGTCAGAAAGACCAGGTGGAGGGATGCAGGTGGATGGAGTGCTTACATTTGAAGAAGATTTTTTCCAAAATCCTGGCTCTTTGTAATAATACCAGAAGCTACACTTTTTAAAATTTTTGTGTGGAGAGATTTCATATGCTGTCAGTAAAAAGTGAGAATTTTCTTATTTTATTTTTAAATTTATATCCAAGCTAGTTAGCATATAGTGCAATAATGGTTTCAGGAATAGAATCCAGTGATTCATCCCCTACATATAATACCCAGTGCTCATCCCAACAGGTGTCCTCATAATGCTTGCCCATTTGTTATCCCCTCCCACAACCCTCTCCAGCAACCCTCAGTTTGTTCTCTATATTTAAGAGTCTTTTATGTTTTTTCCCCTCCCTCTTTTTATATTATTTTTGCTTCCCTTCCCCTATGTTCATCTGTTTAGTATCTTAAATTCCACATATGAGTGAAGTCATACGATATTTCTCTTTCTCTGTCTGACTGATTTTGCTTAGCATAACAGCCTATAGTTCCATCTATGTTGTTCCAAATGGCAAGATTTCATTCTTTTTGACTGCTGAGTAATCTCCATTGTATGTATGTATGTATGTATGTATGTATGTATGTATGTATGTTTGTATGTATATGTGTGTGTGTATGCACACACCACATCTTCTTTATCCATTCATCTGTTGATGAACACTTGAGCTCTTTCCATATTTTGGCTATTGTCGATAGCTCTGCTATAAACATTGGGGTGAATATGTCCCTTTGAAACAGCACACCTGTAGCCTTTGGATAAATACCTAGTAGTGAAATTGCTGGGTTATAGGGTAGTTCTATTTTTAATTTTTTGAGGAACCTCCATACTGTTTTCCAGAGTGGCTGCACCAGTGTGCATTCCCAACAGCAGTGCAAAAGAGTTCCCCTTTCCCCACATCATTGACAACATCTGTTGTTGCCTGAGTTGTTAATGTTAGCCATTCTGACAGGTTTAAGGTGGTATCTCATTGTGGTTTTGATTTGTGTTTGTATTGATTTGATTTGTATTTCCGTGATGTTGAGCATTTTTTCATGCTCAACTTTGATAAGTTCTTTATAGATTTTGGATACTAACCTTTTATCTGATATGTCATTTGAAAATGTCTTCTCCCATTCCATTAGTTATCTTTTAGTTTTGCTGATTGTTTCCAAGTTTTTATCTTGATGAGGTCCCAATAGTTCATTTTTGGTTTAGTTTCCCTTGCTTCTGGAGACATATTGACTAAGAAATTGCTGTGGTTGAAGTCAAAGAGGTTTTTGCCTCGTTTTCTCCTCAAGGATTTTGATGGCTTCCTGTCTTACATTTAGGTCTTTCATCCATGTTGAGTTTATTTTTGTATATGGTGTAAGAAAGTGGTCCAGGTTCATTTTACTGCATGTC